CATTAATCTAATCCCTACAAGAGGTATCTCACGTGCGCTCAGTTCCATGTTCGTTGGGATGTATAAAGGAAAGGTGCGCAGGAACATGCGTGCACACAGTTTTATACATCTGAATTTTTTGGTGCGGCACACTTTTCTAAATTTGTCCGTACGCCAACTTTTAGTGTGAAAGCTGCACAATCCTTCATGCATGAGGCCCCTGGACTGAGAAGTATTACGAGCTCAGCAGACGCACAGTTTCACCAGGTATTTGTTTGCTAGTTGTTGCTGCCGATAGCCTGCAGGAGTCACAGGGAAGGTGTGCTCTGTGATGAGGAAGCTCGACCTGGAGACACAGCCCAGAGGACAAGCTGCATCTAAGATGCGGTTCTAGTTCCAACCGGCAGTTTTTGTCCTCCAGATTGACTGCCTCAGACATTAAAAGATTTTTCAAACATGCATGAATGAAACAAATCAATACTCTCTGTGTATGTTTTTGATGAGGGGATAATGATATTACATGATATAAAGCTAAAAAAGAGGATTTTTTTATAATTGACTTTCATAGGTGTCTAACAGCAATTATCTCACAAGAACAAAAAGTTCCCACCTGACGCAAATCTGAGAGCAATGTGACCTTCATTGGAAACAATAAAGGCTGTTTTAAACAAATTGTTCACAAGCTTCAGTATTTCTCATGTAATTTTGCTTTTTTAATGGAGTGTTTTCTTGCAGCTGTTTGTCCTAAAAGGTCAAACTGACCAGTTTCTACTTTATGTGTTGAATGCTTTCTCCGTCTGGGTTTAAACTCATCTGTGTTTCTCCACAGATGAAGTCTGATTTCCTGCTGGTGAGTCAAAGCTGAACGGAGCAGAAAATGAGAGGATATTTTAAAAGCTGCATGTAGCAACAACAACAACAAAAGGAGTCCATCCACATACAGTAAAAAGCTTTTAAAATAAATCTTTCTGCTCTTAAAGCCTTATTTTGTAGTTTTGTTATTCAAACTGCTACCACCTGCCACTGTATAAATCAAAGGTTAGAACTGTGAGGGTTTTAAAGCTTTGTTCCTCTTCAAAAAAATCAAAAAGACAAAAGCTGATTTTGTGAGGCAGAATACATAAAGGCTTTTAAATATAAAAAACAAAAGTCCTAGAGGTTGTTTAGAAAACTGTTTCAATTTTTACTCAGACTTAGAGGAAATAACTCCCATCACTGCTTCACACTCTGCTGCAAACCATCCCTGTACACGCTGAAGGTCTTGGCCCAAGGACACTAAGGACCACATCCCCATCATAAAGCAGAGACGAGACCCTGTGTTTGCCRAACCACACACCCTCCTCTCCATGATTGTGCCTTGAGATCCTGTCCATAAACACTACAAACAGGATTGGAGATAAWGGACAGTTGTGGTGGAGTTCAACCCACACTGAGAACGAGCTCCACC